CGATCTCGATCAATATGTACATCATGAGCAGGACAACAGTCTCTGGCATCACATCTCACTCAAGCTACGTTTAGGGCTGACAGGAGTCATCGAAAAGCATCAAGTATCGCCCAATGGCATTAGGCTCTACTGATGACATGTTGGCAACTCTACAGTATGCGAGTGATACGATCCCCTAAACCACCAAAACTTCCAGCTAACTCCATGCTAGGAAACTTCGGTACAGCCAGGAATGCTAATTTGGGGCCGCCCCCAACTCTCACCGTCGCACGCGAGCTTCCATTTGCTCTACCACGACATGACTACGACCGTGTCTTCAACGCAGCCACCCTCCTCTCACATCATATTGGAGGAGAGTGGACATATCCAATGCTACGCATCACTTCGCCTCCACTCATGGAGGCAGGCTGTGTACATCATGCCCCCTTTCGCCCCAACCATATGGCCTTATGCAGGAACCAGATCACCCCCCTATGTCAACCCTCCTTCGTCCTGCGTTTGAAGTTCCTCAAATCTTTCTGTTCCTATTGGGGTCAGTCTCTCGCTATTCTTCCACCTTTAAACCAGTTCACTGTCTCGCCGTGGGCAACAACATCATGGCATCACGCTCCTTTTCCTCCCAGTCCCTCCTCACCGGCTTCCTCTTGACGCTCATTTCCTCTCCCTTCGCGATCGCCGAGCTCACTCTTGCTTCCAATCCTCAAACTACATCCGCCCCCGTCGAAACCGTCTCCCTCATCGATGCCAGCGGCATCCCTATCACCACCGCCAACGACCCCGCCGACAATGCTTGGGTCATCCCCTTGACTGGACCAGCCAGCGCTCCCACCGGCGCTGCCTGGGGCGCGCAAATTCAATACAACAAGGACCTGGCTGGAGTCCTCCCCGTCGCATTTGGAACACCCACAACCACCGCCAAACCAACCGCAACAGCGACGGGAAAGGCGACATCAACAACAACAGCAACGTTTGTGTCCGCCGGCTCACCTGGCCAAAAGACCGAGAATCTCGATCTCGAAATTGCGTTCAGCAACACACTCCTCCTATCTCAGGACACAAGTCTAAACATAACCTCCACCACAAACAAAACCAACTCAACAACCATCCCCTCCCTCCCCGTCGGCCTGAACCTCGGCCTCCAAAACAAATGGAACGGCTCCGTCGTACTGGGAGGCAACTACGACTCCAACCGCATCTACGACGAACCACACTGGCAAACCACCCCGGAAACCAGCGCCGGCAACACCAGCTTCATCGATACAGGCATGCTAGATATCAGCGCCGTCATACTCCAACTGTACACTACCCCCAACGCTACAACCAGCAGCGAAGACGCAGAATACCCATTCGGTGGCACCAGCGTGCAGGAGACGAGTAAATCGCTCCCCGCCACGCTGGATTTCAATTCTGAGGTCCTGTCCGTGCCGGATGAATCCTGGTGCGGACGAAACATCTCCATTGTGTTTAATCCGGATAGCGAGTCGTACCCAATATTTGATATTCCCGTTTGGGACGAGCTGGTCCCCAAGCAGAGATGTCAGGTATCCAGTGGGAAGGTCGTGCTTGGAAGGCCGTTCTTCCAGGCTGCATATGTTTATGTGAACTCGGCGGGTGATATGTATTTCAGTTCGATTACTACGGATGATGTGGATGTTGCGACTAAGCCGTTTGATTTGCATGTGCAGCTTTCTGAGGCGGTTAATGGCACTGAGACTTATGGGGGAGAAAATGGAACGGCGACGGGGTCGGGAAGTGATGCGACGGGGACGTCGGGGGCGGGGAGGTTGAGTGTTCAGGGTGTGTGGGCGGTGGTTGTGGGGATGGGGGTTTTGTTTCTCTTGTAATGTTGATGGTTCGTTGATGTCTTTGTACGATTTGTGCATGTGTATGTTATGATATTGTAATATAGTTTGGCTTCTTTGGTCTGTTGTATGATAGGCTGATTTTACTTGATTGGGTGGGTTGGAGATCTATACCCGTTGATGGCAGCTGGGAGCTATGCTTTTTGTTAAGTGAATTGGATTTATGTCATTATCAATCTTTCAGCTTCGGGACAAGTAACCAGATGGAGTTGAGATAAACTGTTTACAGAACTGAGTAGGGACCAGCGCCGTATCGCCAAATCAGAAGCCGCAGGTTACTTCATGGATAAAATCAAAATCTACCTCAATGCTACGTATTTTCCATTGTCTGCTCATAATGCTCAGATCCGCCCGACAATACGTAAAGAGTCTACCTTGATAAGCTAACTATCGAGTACAATTCGTAGACAAACACTAGAGACAAACAGATGACTCCACAACGCCCGACCACATCGCACCACATCACATTCTCATCTAACCCCCAACTACTAAACATCTACCTTACAGTGGCTGAGCCGCACAGCCATGGCCATTAATACCTTGGCCATCTGGCTAGCTGAACAGCTCACACCTGCCAATCTTCGCTTCTTCCACAATGATTCTTCTCCGCCGACCCACCACGCTAAATCCATCTCACGGACGAAGGATCGTCGCCGATTCCCACGCGTCCAGTCCGTAGACGACCCGACCAATCAGCACCTCCATTTCGACTGCCCTAAATGCTACCCATGTGGATCGGAATAAAGTTGACAATGAACAGCCATCATTGTACGGAGCAATCGGATAATGTCCGCCAGGTGCGAAGAGCCTTACCTGCTACATGGTCTAGTCCAGGTGGAATGCATGAGGCTGAAGACCCTGTCAGCATGGGTTATTAATGAGGTATAGGGTGCTCACACGATGGGCAAATCTTTCATTCCGACCGTTTCGCGAAGTGTAAAGCTGGTTGAGCGTCATTACTTTCTTCAGACTACTAGTCATGGGTTTCAAGCAGTTAGGCGGGTATGCTGCTGTGTTTGCAGGGTTGGTGCTAGGTGTTTCTGCAATTGATTTTAACATCAATAGCACCGGTATGTGAATTCATCTGTTTCTGCAATTACAAGAAGGGTCCTTAATACAATCAACAGACACCATCAAATCCGCCTCCGCTATCGAATTCACCAACCTCCTCAGCACCGCCAACTTCAACGGCACCGTTAACCCCATCTACAACACGTCCTACCCAGAAGGCATGCTCTACATGTCCCTAATCCCCTACTGGAACGCGTCCGGCAACACAACCTACAACGAGTTCATTATCTCGCGCATGCACAACCACTCCAAGAGCATCTTCACCGGCGAATGGGAAGAAATCAACGTTCTGACCAGCGACTTCGTCACTTGGGGTCTTGCTGCAATGGCTGCGTCAGAGGCGGACTTTCCGGGCAGTCCAACCAACTCGTCATGGCTGACCTGGGCAAAGAAAGTCGCGTATACAATGGAACTGGTTGTCAGTCAGGGGTCGATATGCAATGGTGGGCTGTATGATGATGAGAGTCAAACGCATGGGACGGACTTCGATTGGTTCAACAACGGGGCGTATTTCCAGCTTATATCGAGGGTGGCATATGCGAGTGATGGCGATGATCAGGGGACGTATGCGCAATATGGAGCGAGTGCGTGGTCATGGAGTGAGAAAAATGGCATGGTGAATACCACGGATTGGTCGGTGTATGATCTGGTCTCGAATACGACGGCGAATGCGTCGACTTGTCAGGCTGTGGATACCGCGAGGTGGAGTTTGGCGTATGGGCTCTATTTGAGTGGTGCGGCGTATATGTATGAAGCGGTAAGCAACATCATCCCCATTTCCTTTGGGTTAGGAATGGGTCATTGTGGGACCATAGCTGACAGCCGCAGACCAAATCTGACATATGGATGACACGGACCGAAGGACTCCTCAATAGCACGCTAGACACATTCTTCGTCGACGACATCATGGTAGAAGTGGGCTACAGCAGTGCCAGTCTAGGCACCGCCGAGCAGTCCAAGCTATCAGCTTACCCCTTCAAGGGATTCCTAGCGCTGTGCCTTGCATCCGTGGCAAACCTTATCCCGGATTTCGCCGGTCGGATTGTGCCGCTCCTAACAGACACAGCTGTGGCGGTAGCCGAGCAATGCGATGGAACAAGTAACCAGACTGTCTGTGGTTCCGACTGGGGGTCTACTTCGTATAATGAAGATCCTTCGTTCGAGAATACCTGGAATGCCGCCAATATCTTCGCCTCGAAGTTGCTTGCGCCGGACATTTCCAAATCTGGAAATACCCCGAGTAGCGGCAATTCCACAACAAGTGATACAACCAGCAAAGACGAAAATGGCATTTCGAATGGCGCGATTGCTGGTGCCGTGGTTGGTGCGGTGGCAGGCGCGGCTTTGATTATCGTGGCGGTCTTGTTCGGTCTCCGGAAGATGAAACAGAAGAGAATCCCCGTCCCTACGAATGAGCCGGATGACATTGAGTATGCCAAGAAGAACCCAGCGGAACTGGCGCAGGGATCTTACGTCCCCGAGATGGATAATGGAGTGGTGACGGAACTACCGGGGAAGGCTGATGCGACTATTCCTCATGAGGTGGATTCAGCGCCGGTGTCTGAGCTTCCAGTCAGAGCTAACACGATGCGTTATGAATTGGCATGATAGCATAGTTTCGAGCGGCCATGACTCTATAGAACATAATATTAATATAATGATCTTACCCACGTCTAACAAGGTCAGACGTGCTTTGTCTTGTGCTATAATTAGTACCCAGACGCCTAGGAATGCCCCGATAATAGCTCACATATGTCCAAGATACAGCATTCCTCCTTCTCCGTGTCCGATTGGATTACAGGTAAAGTGTAGAACTCAAGAAAAAAAAGAAGAAAACATGAGAAAAACGCACTGTGCAAGACATCGCTAATTCCACCCCCAGTAGCAAGCAAAGTAGCAATTATATAACAGATAGGAATTATATGCATAAGGATCCCTCTTCTCAGACAATTCCGACCCACTGTATCATCTAATTATACCCCATTTCTCTACTCTACCCACAGTGCTTCTCGACAATAATACTCACATCACCTCACTGTCATCCAAATATCAGCGTTGCTCAAAGAATCATGTAACTCTAGGCGGAATAGAAGGCCAATGAGCAAAGGCAGAGAGGACATACTCCAGCTCCTCAAGGAAATTTGACATAGAATAATACCGGCCGGAGTCTGGTGAAGGAAGCGTTTCGTAGCCAGTGAGGAATGTTGATGGCAGTGGTTCAATAGTCTGCTGGTACTGATAGCTTCCATACAATCCAGCTTCTTCCAAGAAATAAGGATAGTTGTAGTTGTAGCTGTACTGCGATAATGTGTTTCCATCACGCGCGTACTGGTATTGCCGTACCTCTTCTTCGAATCTAACGCGGCATTTTCGTCGCTTGTTCCAGTTTTCGCGCGAGCTGAGAATTATCTGCACAATGGAGCGTCAGCATTAGTATACGGGGTGGTAGGTAGTGTCTTTGGCTCACACTAGGGACTGAATGGATGGTTATGTTCCAGAATCGGCCAAGTAGAGACTTTCCGTCTGTAGAGTCATTGGATGTTGGAGCCTCCTCTGAAAGTCCCCAAATGCTGGGCTTTCGCTTCAGGGAGGGCTTCCTGGGGGCTTGTGTTGGGGGTGCCTCGCTCGGTGTTGGACTGGGGCTTCTGCTAGACTTCAGTGGGCCGTAGAGCCAGGTAATGTCGCTATCTTTGTCCCTACATTGAGTCAGGATGTCACGATTCTGGAACGCAATGACTGGGCTGGACTTACCATGAGATAAACGCTGCTGGCATGCGAATAGTCTGCCTGGTAGAAGCCAGCCATGCTCTCCAAAGAGCATTTTCGAATCGACATCTAACAAGACTGTGCTGGTTTATCTGGCGAACATGTTTTCTAGTAGCCCACATCTCATCATACGTCCAGGAATGTGCAAGATAGTCAACATTGACTTTGGCATCTTCTTCAATCCAGAGATCATCGCGCACAGCCCTTGGTCGGGACATGGTAGCCTCAAAGGGGCTTAGGTATAGGGAACGGGAAATGAAAAGAGGGAAGGTGGAGGGTGGCGATAGTGACAGGCAGTGAATGGTCGTCTCATTTAACTTAGTCGCAATCTTCAACCACCAGTAGGAGGGTGAGGATGACTGGACTTAATATACAGAACGGCAAGAATGCAAGCACGCTCTGTCTATCTACCAGGCGAATGTCCGGTCTACTCCATCGACACTTCGCTAGCACAGTATCAGTCCCACAACTGATAAGAGCTCTACATGTCATACTTCAGTCTTCCACTCAGAACACGGGCTAAACCAGACGCGTGAATCTGATATCGGGCTTGATTGGCGAACCAGCATCTACAAAAGGTCTATTTGGGGTAGCTCCCCGGTTGCGGAGAGCTGGAAACACGGTGCGCGGAGGAGTTGCAGTGGCCCAGCCGCCCGGGACAGCCGAGTTACCGAAGATGGGGAATGGTGGACATGACAGCCGGCGCCACCAGAACCAACGAGGCCGAGCAGGGAAAGAGGAGTTGTAACCATGGGGTGACATCTGGCCTTGTCAAGGGACGCGTCCGGGGCTGTTGGAGTCTCCCAGCCAACCAGAACTTCGCTGGCTGGCCGGAACATTCAGCCGCCCAATCAGCACCCCGGATCCCACATACTACGCCAGAACATCAGAAATCTGACTCCTGGCAATGCCCCGAAATATGCTCTCGGCTGCAATATCCCCGATCCGTGGCGACAGCTGGGAGCTCTACTTGAGTGGGGATTCTAGGCCTGCCGATGAGCGATATGGGATTCCCGATCTCCTTCCTTAACGAGCCCAGCCCTTCCTGCACAGCCATGAACCACCGTATCGACTACATCGCTACCATCTACCAGCCTAGCATACCATATCTTCCATAGACTGATGATGTCTGCGAAGAAGAATGCTCGGCGTTTTCTCGCCTCGCCTGCGGTTGTCGGCCCCGCCCTATCTCGTAGAGGATCCATATCAGAAATTTTCGCGGGGAATGCCCCAGGTCGTAGACAGGCAGAAAGTATTTGAAGCAAGCAGGTATCGAGCAGAAGTACTTCGCACCCTCCATCACACTCCCCTACTCTATCAAATAAAAAATATGCCTTGGTCCCTTGGAAAGTCCCTAGGCCTGATTGGTCGCGGGCAAGAACCACTCTCCTTCTCTCTTACCGGAAGCCCTACTCTTTGCGCGAACACCCCTTACATCTCGGATCTCAACGCCTCGAGGCTTCTCTCCACACAGGATCGTACCGAAGCAGATGCCCGCTGGACTTACCACACGGAACGAGATTATGAACCTGAAGACAGCTTCAAAGAGCACGCCGTGTTGTGCCTTCCGTGTTGCCATCATACCGAAGACAACCAGCCGGGTATGGACGATACTCCTCTGGATAGAAAGGCCCGTAATGCTCTCGACGAGTATTCCAACTCTTTCGATGAATATCGTCTGCTCAAACGGAGGTTGTCTACGTTAACGCACTCGCCACGGAGCGAGAAAGCTGCATAATCGTCACAATGTCGTGCAATCAGCTACGATGCATGCCGTTTCTGGAAGCAAATCAACCTCGCCTATTTCATGGCGCCACCACTGATCGGGATTTTTTGGAAGAAACCTGTAACACACGCTTATTTTAGAGCGAGTCGCTGTATGTAATTTAACTGGCATGAAATGCATGGTTGGACATTTCGCATTTCTTATCAATGCATGCACCTTCGACATCGCTGTTACTCTACTTGACTGCAAGCTGCTTTCAGCACGACTTCTATAGCAGATTCTGTATAGCACATTCAACAGTCTACTGGTCTATATCAAAGATTTTGAGATGGACCCAAGCGCAATTTCTGGCTCTAGTAATAATGAGTGGTAATTCCTTATCAAAGTCTACAGATGCAAATACTTTGGCTTTATTGCTATCAATTCTAGAATTGCTGAACGCAGGGCTGGAATGCAACGTAGCTATCTATGCACTGGAAACAGTAGCAGTGGCGAGAATTTTAGTATTTCGGAGGACTGCCGCTACCCTAATTCATGGCGGCGATCCAGACCTGCCTTCGAATCTGATCTTAGTCAGGCCGCATTGACCATACTACTGCATATCCATGGTCGATGTCAACACGAGATATCTTTATCGTGTTACAAGCTTTCTACGCGCAATTTTCAGGATGGCTGTGCATATAGCATCCCTGTTTGATAACACGTATGTGTACAACTGATAGAATTGTCTAGGCTAATATTATTATTGCTCGCTTCGTAGATACTACTGTTAATTCTAGTATACTCAGTCAAGGAATAACAAATTGCAATTAGTACTATCACCGCCCGAAAGCTCTATCTTGCTTGACACATTCTCAAGGCACCAAGCCATCACGACCAGCCATGTCCAACAGGGACCATCACACCTGCACCTTCATCCAACCTCAAATCCTCCACCACATCAGCACCTCCCCAATCGCCCCCTCCAAGGCCCGACGCGCCGCCTTCCGCACCCTCACTCTCGCCAACGAAATCCACCACACCCGGCTTTCCTCATCCCCAAATATCTCCCTCACACCGCACGCCCAAGCCCACGACATCTACGACTGCCGCAACAAGCGTGGTCTCCCAGGCCTCCTCATACGCACCGAATCCTCCTCTGCTCCAACCACCCAAGACGACACCGTAAACCACGTGTACAACAGCTTCGGCATCTTCCTCCAATTTCTTTCATCCGTGCTGGGCCGTCGATCCATCGACAACGACGGTCTCCGCCTCATCGGGTGTCTCCACTACGACAAGAACCTAAACAATGCGTTCTGGAACGGGCAGGTGGTTATCTTCGGCGACGGGGACGGGGTATACTTTACTGGGTTCCCGAAAAGCCTGGATGTCGTTGTGCATGAGCTGATGCATGGAGTGACGGATCATACGGCCGGGTTATTGTACGAGGGACAGTCTGGGGCGCTGAGTGAGAGTATCTCGGATGTGTTTGCTTGTGTTGTTGAACAGTGGTGGAGGAGACAAGGCGTCGAGGAGGCGGATTGGGTGGTTGGAAGGGGGGTTTGTGTTTGGCCGAAGGGAAAGAAAGGTGCTGGTGCTGGTGTTGGGGAGATGGGACTGAGGTCGTTGAAGGCACCGGGGACGGCGTATGATGATGCTCTTCTTGGCAGGGATGGGCAGCCGAGCCATATGAATGGGTTTGTATATACGGAGAAGGATAATGGGGGTGTGCATTGGAATTCGGGCATTCCGAGTCATGCCTTTTACCTTTGTGCTGTGGGCTTTGGGGGACGGAGTTGGGAAAGAGCTGCGGTGGTTTGGTATCAAGCGTTAACTGATCCGGGAGTTGAGCCGAATTGTAGCTTTGAGAAGTTTGCATGCGTGACGGTGGATATTGCGGAGGCGATGTTTGGGGGAGAGGCTGGGGGATTGGTGAGGAGGGCGTGGGTGGAGGTTGGAGTTGAGGTTGGAGAGGTGTTGTGAACGGTGAAGGATTGATGCTGGCTGCTAGGATTCATGGATTTGGCTATGGATTTAGTAGTGTTTGGGGGTTTTATTTGGGTTCGCAATTGCCCTTTTTATAATTCTAGACGGTGCGAAAAATACTATAGCCATGTCCTACTGCTCTCGCTGCTGCTATCGAAGCCATTAAGAGTGAGCATCAACATATAATGCTATTCTGATATCTGTATTCTTTGAATATTATGAGTAGATTAAATCGTTCCATTAGTGCTAGCCTTCCAGATCACAAAGATGATGCAAGCCACTTGATGATCATAGAGCATATCCATCACCTGACAACAGTGTGTTGTATGGCAGGAGAATGAATGCGTGTAGAATGCACATCTCTGGAGCCTACCAAAAGCTGCAGTTACTACCTTGTCTGCTTGGTAAATTATTAGTCAGAATGGGAGGTTTATCCTTCTCCTGTACAGTATTATAGAGCTGCTATTCCTTCGAGCAATACAATAGTATGTCTTTTCCGTTTTAGGAAAATTATGCTAGAACAGGCCGCGGTGGTGAATGATTCCATCCAGGACAGGTTAGGCAATTAAGCACATGGGCTTTCTATACAGGCAGCACAACATGGTTTACCCATTCGATCACTATCGCAGTTTAGAGCCCTCACTCAACATCAGCACCGACACTAAAGCGCTCTCATTGGCTCACATGCTTTGAAGAGTATTCACTGAACTTCACTGCTCAGTGTTTACAACTACGCGTCTCTTTCCTCTCACCTTGGTTTCCCCTCTCACCTGCAGTAGACATATTCTTGACCCAGTCACTGTCAAAGAAGGCTCACTTTGGCGAGTAACAGTACGCAAGCCTACCTGATAGGCTATCTACTATCTGTCCAGGACTAACAACCCATTTCAAACAAATCAAAGTAAGTAGAATGAGAAACTTCACTTTATTCTTGTCTCACTTCACCCAAACTCACCTGAATCCTTTATACCGGCCACGCGTTACAGGACTACCAGTCCCCTCTCAGATCTAAAATAGAACTGACTTAGGTCATTTAATCCAAGGTTCAATTCACAATCGGGTAGAGACTCTTCCTTACATAGTATAATGGCAACTCCGAGGAAGGCTTCGAACAGGCCAAAGAAACGGACTTTGGTCCGCTGGGACGGTATGTCCCCTATCTCTTTTTCGATAATCCTATCTTGTGGGGAACTTGTTTAACCGAGGCTAACAAGTATAGAAAATCTGAACGAGCTCCTTCTATTGACTGTCCAGTCCGTTTGTAATACAAAGTCTATCAAAATTCCTTGGGCCGATGTCGCTAATACCATGGGTCATAACGTGACGGAGGGCGCAATCGTACAGCACCTTGCAAAGCTTCGCAGTCGTCGAGTCTCTGCAGACAAGGCTGTCCCCCCTCCCCTTCGACGTGGTGCTACTGCTATACCCAAGTCTGAAGAAACGCCCATAAAGAGCGTCGCAGACGAGGAATCAAAGCCGAAGGGTGGCTCGAGTAAGAATAATGGCTCTGGGTCCCGTGGTAAACCTCGAGACCAGAATACATCGTCAGACGAAGAATGGGTCCAAGGAAGGCCTCCAAGATCACGAAGACTGCGAAAAAGAAGAAAGTCGGCGGTCAAAGTTGAGGAGAGCTCTTCAGAGTCTGAGAAGAGTGAAAGCGATGACGACGACAAGCGCAGCAGCGTGGCCAGTTCCGATGAGCTTTTGGTTCCTGGTGCAAAATTCCTCGAATACCCCAATGACGCGGAAGAACCACAGAGTAAGATCGTGACACTCAAATACCGTCGTCCTTCTGCGGCCAAGGCAGACAATGCACCCTCCAAATCTCTGGATTTGGCCAATGACACCATTAATGTCAATCCTTCCCTTGTTCTATCATCTCAGCGTCCCAGAATCCCTTTTGACAACGATCCCGATATGATGGACTTGTTGCCACACAACTTACCAAATCGTTATGTAGGCGGGCATACCTCCAATGAACTGCCTGCACTGCCTTCAGAAGAGCATATTTCTTCCGATGATCTGTGGAACACTGCACTCGGCCCGCCGTTTCCAACAGGCATGGTCTACTCGGGCTTGAATCCCACTTTCGAAGCGATTGTAAATGACCCTCTAGGGTTCTCCCAAGAAGACATCGATAGATATCTCACCTTTGATTCTGGCAGCTATCCGCATATGCCCACCAGTTATACCAGGCCGGACCCACCATTGAACGACTTTGACATGGATGAGGACATGAAGTGATCAAACTGTTCTTCGAAGTGGTATTTATAAATGAAATAAGGCCCGACAGACTTTTTTTTTACATACCTTTGCCCTTGCTCTCCTGAAATTTTCGCTTCGATTGAATATTGATCACCTCGTACACATTCCGCGCTCCTTTTTCATCTTTCCTCCCAGTTCTTTTATTTTTCATCAGTTCTTTGCATTGGTTTTCATATCGGAATATTCTGACATGAACGATAATACTCATGCAATATTTTCATTCTCATCCATCGAGTCCTTTCTTTCATCTCTGATATCTCTGACATCTATGATCAACATAATGTATTTATTTTCGTATTATTTAGCAACATAAACAACCATATCGAAGCAATCAAACATTTTTTATCAATAGAGTGTGAAAAGAGCATTAAAAGAGAAGGGCAATTTACCAGAATTGTCTTCCGGGGTTTAAATACTCGAAAGACTGAGATGAATGTAGAAAAGAGGCTATTGACAAATAGGCATTCAATCTCCGTGTGCACAATTAACTATCCCACCAACCAAGACGCTGCTGCATATTTATCATTTCTTTCATAAGCGACCGAGTAATAGTTCAATTTGACCAGAGAACTCATTTCGCTTCTCATTCCCGCATTGGTGTACTACTCTATCCGCGGTTTCACCAGGCAGAACCACCAATTAAATCTTACTTGTCACTATTGGCCTTCTCAGACAATTGGTCAGTCACGCGCTTCTCCGTTATCACGTCAAATTGAGCAGAACTATGGGTGTGAATTCCGATCCCACAGGGAGTAGGTGGTGGCGAGAAAATGAACCCGGGGAGGCAGAGCGGTGGCGTGTGGTGCAGATGGCACGGCGTTGTATCCGATGGCTGGTACTACCAATATTACATTTACTGGTAATAAAGCCTAATCATCGGTTCTATCCTGCTTGTCTAAAAAGATGATTCTGGATGAGTTTGCTATGTTTCCCTCGAAGTGAAGAGTAGGCATTCACTGGCAGGGTTTATACCAACACGCAGATTGTATAGAGTCATGTAGTGAAAAACCTCATTAATAACACATTATTCTTTGCATTACCTACAAAATAACTATTATATCCTACACCCAAATGACTAGACTCGGTGTTACCTTTCTAGCGTGGTCATCTTCAGTGTAGATCAAAGGCACCACTTCGCAACTCCAACTGCAACTACACAATCATCATACTTATCTCTTCTCTACGTTCATATACTCCTACACCAAATGATCCAATCCGTCATGAAATCCCTCCTCTTCTTTATCGCCTTCGAGTTCTTCATCAACCAGATCCAGGCCTGTGGCATACCCGGCACATTCTGCAGCCGCTGGGGTGCTAAAGCATGCGAGTGCAATGGAGGACACCTGGTACGTGGTATATATCTGAACTCTATTGCTGATGCTAATCATGATTTCAGTTGGAGTGCCAGGTCACCGTGGCTCCGATGGTGGATGGCCAGGGCGGCGAGACCGAGGCGTTCTGGACCAAGATCAGGAACTGTCCTGTGCCGGCTGGTGGCGGGTTGCAGTGCATTGACGGGGCTTGTACTTCTTGATTGGTCAATAATTGAAGGCATGGAGGATTGGATGGTTAGGGGTGATATGCTAGGGTGGATGACTGCGGTGGGATTGGTGATAGGGGGTAGTGGTGGAAGAAATGCAGAGATACGGTCGGAAAGGGAACAGGCGTGCTGGTTCACTCTCAGGTGTGGCCTATAAGGGAGCATATTGCTCAAGTCTTTGTCGGATAGGGATACAAGGTAGAGAAATGCGATCTGGTCGCCATGGGGATAGTTCTTTTAGGCATGAATGCAGCTTCAGCAACTACTTTGTCAACACAACTATTCGTACAAAATTTTCGATAAGCCTTTTGAACTTTGTAAGTATGCCCAACAGGAAGTCATATACGGTGGCAGGGAAAATAGTCTATAGTGCAGGACACGATCTCATCTCGCATATCGGCGGCTCCGTGGCGAGAGGCGAGAGTTGGACGCTGACGTGGAAAGCTTATCGCATGAGTATATTCGAACAAGATTGAGTACTCGGCGCTAGACATGCATCTCCGACCTCACCTGATGAGCAATGTAGCTGTGTTATTGGACCATCGTTGCATAATCGGGCTTTGATCTCGTTTAGATCGAAAACTCTGTATGGACACTTACTACCGAGTGTAGCGGTCTGCAGATGAGATGTGGTATTTCCTTTTTGCTACGATCCTATGCCTCATCCCTTGCATTAAAGTTAAGCTTAGGGATAGATATGACGAGCTCCCGCATGGACAATGTGTGAGATTATCACAAGCTGGAGATCCCAGACTGAATTCCGATCGAGTCTCATATCCACCGCTCGACCATTTCAGTGACCGGTGCTTCGCTTGTTAGCTATTTGTTTGGTATAATTTCAAGCTACGTAGAAACCTCGGCGTACATGATGCTATTGAAACCCACTGCACAGGATCTCGGACATCACCCCGCGATCTGGTGGATCCCCCGCCTTTCGGACGAATGACATGCCAATCTTGCCTCGATGTCCGTCAGCTCTAATGCTGGAGCGAGGCTCTAGGCTATTCAAATGACTCATGACAACCGATAACTGAAGATGCAGCCAAGATACCAGTCTGACATAAACTAAAGCTACCGAGCACTTCAAATATACGACATCTCCCACCCAATTTTGACCCGACCCATCTCCAACCTATCCTCCACCATGGAGCCTTCAACCAACACCCACCCCCGATTCGGATGGATCGGTAAGTACCCATCATCCACCTTACATACGGAGTACTAAATTCTCAGGTCTCGGCTCAATGGGCCAAGCCATGGCCCTGAACCTCCAAGCCCACCTATCGCACATCAACGCCCCATCTCTGAAATTCTACAATCGAACCGCAGCTCGTGGACTCCCCGTCCATGAGATTGGGGGTGTACAGTACACTAACATCCCCGACCTCATCGCCAACACTGAAATCTGCTTCATCGCCGTGACTGATGACACTGCTGTTCGATCAATCATCGACACCATCACAACATTGGAACCAGAGCACCTACGTCAGAAACTCATCGTCGATACCACGACCGTCCATCCAGATACGTCTGCCTGGGCAAAGCAACGTCTTGGAGAACACGGAGCAACCTACATCGCATCACCGGTATTCGGGGCTACGCCAACCGCGCAAGAAGGCAAGTTATTATTTGTGGTTGCGGGCGCGGATGAGGCCGTGCGGCGGGTGGAGCCGTACATTGTGGGCGTTATGGGGAGGAAGATGATGAGGTTGGGCGAGGATGTTACGAGGTCTACGTTGTTGAAGTGTACGGGGTAAGTTCTGACCTTCTTAGCCATCCAACTCTCTGTGAATATATCTAATTGATAGTTAGGAACTTCCTCATCGGCGGCATGATGGAGCTCGTCGCCGAAGCACAAGTGTTAGCGGAGAGGTCCGGTCTCGGAAGTGATGTTCTCGAGGGATTGCTTGAGGAGCAATATGGTCCGCTGCTGACCTCCATGTCAAAGAGAATGACGGGAGGGTTTTATCTGCCTGAACGGGGTCAGCGACCGTGGTCGGATGTGAATTTGGCCATCAAAGATGTCTCGTTGGGAGTGAGTTGTGCCGAGGGCGCGGGAACCGATTTGCCCGTTGCGCGGGTGGTTTTGGATCATCTCCGGGAGGCACGAAGTTATGGGGAGGAGAATGGACGCACATTGGATTCGTCGTCAATGTATGGAGTGTTGAGAGAGCGTGCAGGGCTTGCGTTTGAGTCGGAGAGGGTGAAGCAGAGGGACGCTGGAGGAAGTGATTGACTTGTGGGGGAGGATGGTCCGGGGTTTTATATATCTTCGGTGGCTCTTTCGAAGAGCAGAGAACAATTTATGGATGGCGCATTTCTACAACGATAAATGTTCAAAATACATTTTAAATAATGCATAAGGCATTTAAAAACCTATTAAGACCCATAATTCGCTCAAAAACATACAAAACCGACGCAAAAAGAAAGTTCCGCATCCGGATGTGCGGGCAGAAAAAAAACAAAAAGAAACGTCAGCGACAGGACTCGAACCTGTGCGGGCGAACCCAATAGATTTCTAGTCTATCGCCTTAACCACTCGGCCACACTGACTAATTGTTGAAGAATGTCAAAACTTCATGCCCTAAGAGCTACCGTATCAGCAGAAGCATCACTAATAATCCAAATGAACCATCATCCAAACGAGAGTCATTATTTCATATCATAATTATAATCAACACCGATACATCCCCTCCCGCAATTATCCGACTACACAATATTTGCATCAAATTTTACAACAAGTAACCCACTTCATCAAATCCCTCGCATACATCCAGCTCGGATACAAACAACAATAAACCCCCACCATGGCCGTAATCACCACCGCGGACAATGTACTACATCCACTCCTACCACTACTCATCCGGCAGCAGATCGTCGCTTTGGTCTGTTCATATCACTAAGGTCAGCTTTCATTTCTTCTACCACAACTAAACCAAGCACGTAAAAGGGAATGAACCCACCTTGACTAGGATTATACGGCCTAAAAGACTGGGACCTGTCGGGAGGCGCCTTCGAACCCGACTGCTGCTGCTGTTGCTGTTGCTGCTGCGATTCACCCGTATCAGCGTGATGAGCCCGACGGTTCAGTTCTTCCCATCTGCCTCCGGAGCTGAGGTCATCGACTTTCTCGACGAGCTGTGAGCCGGTGAGGTGGTATGCGCCGGAGGGTCTGCGTTCGCTGGTCATTATGTCCAGTTTCTTCTTTGGATTCTTTGGATGATGATATTGATAGATCGTTTCGTTTCAGATGAGATAAGAATGAATATGGAATAAGGATGAGGGCGGAGGCGATTTATATCACAGCTTTAGTGGAGTATGACATCGTGGGGGAGGGGGGAGCGGGGAAGACGAACCATGGTTGTGGCAATACTTGAAGGTGTGTTATTGGGGGCTGGGGTGCGGGTGACGCCCCCGAACATGTGGGTGCCAATCATCGAGGCTGCTTGTTACGCGGATATTGCATCAGATATTATTCATCTTATTCATGGAGGGACTATTGTTTGCCGGACGGTTTGGTTTGGTTGGTTGGTGATTAGGTAGGGTAGGGTAGGGTAGGTGGTGGGTGGTAGCGAGTGTGCTGAAGTAGTGAGTAGGATTGTCGCTTAAACAAACTGTTATACACTGCATTTGAATTGGCGATTATCATGAGGTTGATGATCGCATTGCAGATTTGCTGCTACAGATAGTGTGGCATAAGCTATGGATGGGGAATTCAGTAGCAAACCGTCCCTGTCTTAGCCACATGCAGCACATGCGAGGGTCAGATATAGTACATCTAGCCATTTGGTCTTTCACTACACCATTTTCTATTTCTAGCTATCTCATTAGTCCATTTCTCGTATTATCTACAACCATTCTCAATTATTGTTTAAATCGCTTATTTTTCCACAACTGAAGCGACCAGCGTGATTGATGATCACTCATCCACCAAGCCAAAGGAACAGACCAAAGCATGATGATCAGTCCATAAGGGTTCATCGTCAGAAGATCCGCTTATCGGTTTCGGCTCTATTGTCTTAATGTCATACGGTCGCAGCCCGAGTATACCTATTTTATCAAGCCGATTGGGAAGGAATGGTTGCTTGCCATCTAGGCCCCAAGTTAAGCCAGGTTCTTCGGGCCGAAGAGCTGTCCAAGCATCCACCAAGCCATTATTTTCTAAGAGGCTGTTGTCCTCATCGAGGACAGGATTGAAGTCACCTGCGACTAGACCTTGACCTGCGACGCGAAGGAGGGATGCAACAATAGATACCTGCTTGGGTCGGTGGGAAGGTTTGATTGGCAAAGAGTCTAGGTGAACATTTACTAGACGCAACCGTATTGGACTGGGTTCCTTAGATGAAGCGACGAATATATCACAGCAGAGAGCATCCCTAGCAAAGTGACTCGGGAATTTCACCCTCCAAATTGGTCCTATGGCGGTGTTTGTCGTGAAGCGTGCCTTAGACAGTAAGGTCATTACCGCAAACGATTGATCGCCCCGTGATGTATCGTCACATTCGCTCGAAAGCCAGAGCTCGCGAACCCGCTCGTCTTTCAAGATTTGCTGAAGGGCTGGCTTTGACACTTCTTGGAGGAAAATGATATCCGGTCGGGGATCTAACCCGATAATACACGTGATTATTTCTGTAACGCGTTTCTCAGTCTGAGGAAACGTTCCATCAATATTCCATGTTAGCAGGACAAGCCTTGAGGTATCGGCACCTCCAGCTGGGTCTGCTGGTGTATTTGTATCGATATCGGAGCGAGTGGTAATCCAACTTTGGACAGGGTCAAAAGTATGCCAGGACTGGAACTTTGGGTAGGCGCAGGCTCCAGATGGGAGTGGTGTTCCATGTTTCCAGGAGAGAAAGCTCGTTTGGACACGTGTGAAGATATCCATATCTTGGATGGAATGGGTGCTGAATGTACTCAGCAGTGATGAGGGAGTTGGAAAGTGCCTGTGAAGCCACGGGGGCCTAATACAGCAGGGGACAGTGACCTCTTGCGCACGTGATGATTATAACAACCAGCCGACCAGCCACAGTCAGCTGATCCTCGCAAGTTATTTAATACACTGGCTACCTGTATGCGGTCTAACTACTTATATTATGAGTCTCACTATGCAGTAGCATTAGGAGCACTGGGATTCGTCACATGCGGCAACAACACCTCACAGTGCTCCTGATACGGCAGCGAAGACACCTGCGGCCCGGGGTACTGCAACGACGCAACCCTCGGACTATTCACCGTAAACTGCGGCCACTCGAAGCCAAAGAAGAAGTCAATCGTCGAATCATACGATCGCGCCTTCAAGTACGCCGGATCGACATTCGGGTTCCCAGTCCGGGCAAAAGCACCCCACATATCCTGGATCGCGTTGGTGTAGTAAATATCCTCGGGCACACGCACTGGCTGATCGAAGATATAGTATGTACCGAAGACCTCATACAGATCGCTGCTATGGCAGCGGTAGTATGGAGTATCTGGCTTTCCTACGGGGAAGGTACACAGATCGTAAAAGTCATAGTAGCTGAGTGCGTAGCCTCGGTTGTGAATGTAGAACCAGTGGGACTTGAAGGCCCAGGAGGCAGCGGCGATCCATTGCAGGAGTGTGCCGTCGCAGTATAGTTGGCCTTCGGTACCGAGGTGGACTGAGGCGTTGTAGACCGAGGTGTAGGTTGTGCTGCCGTTGTAGACCGTGTTGTTGGTGATTGTGTAGAGTCCTGAGTTGAGGGCCGCTTCTGCTTGGGCTTCGTTGATGGCGGCATCGTTGATGAGGATCTCTAATGCCTCGCTGAAATTGCTCATGCTAGGCCAGAGAGTTGTGGTTGCGAGCGACTGGTATTCTTCGAGCATGTTGCCCGTTAGGACGTTGACTGAGTTGATGTACTGTGCTCCGAGTGCATATCGAGCTTGAGTGTAGTCGGCTGAGTAGTGACCGTCGATGACGGTGTACCAACTGATACTGTTGTTGCTGATATCAAGAAGGGTCTCTGCAGGTAATGACCGCAGGCAAGAAGCTCGCTGCGTGGCTGTGCCGTTACAGAATTTCTCAATGTAGGGTTGGGCGTAAGCTGCAGCGACTTCGGCAGTAGCGACATTTGACTTTCCCGACTGGACGATACCATTTTGAAAGAGGTCTTCGCCAATAATTGCGGGACATGTAATCAGATCATTGACTGATGATCCACCGGCAGATTGACCGAAAATGGTCACGTTCTTCGGATTGCCCCCGAATCCAGCGATGTTTTGCCTAATCCAGCGCAATGCTTGAATCTTATCTGTCATCATGTAGTTGCCGTTGAGCTCTCCATCGTTTAGAGCTAAAAGGCCGAATATATTGACCCGGTACTGGGTTTGAGTTAGCGAAAGGAAAATTGAGTATTGAGAAATTTCTACATACGTTAAACGAGACAACCACAACATCAGAGCGAGACGCAAGACTAGCCCCATCAAAAGTGGAGTCAGCGGCCGAGCCTTGGGTATCCCCACCACCATAGATCCAAACCATCACGGGCTTCCCGTTGTCAGGATCCAAGGAGTCGGCTGACGGGATATGTGGCGTCCAGATGTTGAGGAACAGACAGTCTTCACTATTTCCCCAGGGGTCTGACAAGTAAGCAACCATGTTAACATGTCTGGGTGGGTAACATACTCAGACCATACGAGTTGCCATCAAAGTAACCAAACTGCAAACAGGCCGGTCCGTAACTCGTGGCGTTCACATACGGAATAGTATGATTCCACGGCTGCGCCGATTGGAATCGTAGATCCCCCGTCGGGGGCTGAGCAAAGCGAATGCCAGCGAAGCGAAATGCCATGTGGTCCCTCATGCCCTCGAAAGTCGTACCGTTGTAAGTGACATTTACACGGGGGAAACCAGAGTAATCTGTGTCTACTTTGTCAACAAGAGGGGCGCTGTTGGTGCACAGAAAGGGAAGATCAGAGGATGAATTCGTGCTGCTCTGAACAACACCGCGCCATGAAGTTGGAGACGAGGAAGAGCATGATGACCAGAACAGCTGATCGGTAGTGATTCTACCCAGGTATTGCTGGTAACCGAATAGGTTCTCGTAGTTGGCATATTCCTCGCAGCTCAGCAATGCCTCATTCTGTGCTGCACACACCGCATTGGCATCAGCATAACTCGAGGGCGTGTTGATGAATAGAGCGCTAGGCTTGGTTCCATGAGATGTCCAGTTGCCGTCATTCTCGAAGAAGACTGTAGCATCATCGCTCCGTGTGTCGCCTGCAGCACGAGCGAAAGTCGGCCCACTGGTGGCAACGGCCGATGCAATAAACAAAGCTGGTGCCACCAGAACATTCAGAGAAACAAACATTCTGCTGTCCCACTAAGCAATGAAGTTCATGGCTTAGAATCAGTCGAACTGGGTTCAGCGGCACACATCGCAGCTTTATAGCCCAGAGGTATCTTGCTTTAGCCAGTATGCTTGACCGGCATCAGGCTAATTGCTGTGATCCGTTGTATCCGAGTCATTCGCACCATCATTAATTTACCTGCAGGATGGCCCGATCTTGCTCAAGTATAATGCGGGGAATGGGCGGGGGCGAGTGGAGATGGGATGAAATATTGAGTGCACCGTGCGCCAGAATGATGTGTGGGGGTGAAGGCATACCCACCCGAGCCCACATCTACAATATCCTGATAGGCTCGGTTCGCTATTATCCTTCAGGGACTCGGATCTGTCAATGGGCTGCTTGCTATTAACATCCCGATCAAGGCAAGTCTCCGCAGGGGCCAATGCAGACTAGAAATCTTGGTTTGCTTGATTTCTGAAGACGTAATATCGTAGGATTACGAGGTGGGTGTACTACTCCAGCCGAATTTGCCATCATCTGCGTGATAGTAGCTAGGAGGGAGATCTGATGACATGAGTAATCAGCCCAATGAATTAACACCGGAAATATATAACATCTATAAGCATCTAAATCGGGCATCCGAGCCTTTCTCATGATACAAATGAGTCGGTATTATTATCAGTAATCAATTGGAGTGAACCCATGGGCAATCTTCCAAGCACCAGTGACTGGATCACGCTCATTCCGCAAATAATGCATAAAGCTTTGATCACGATACGGGCTCCATTTTGCGATTTCTTCCTCCGTGGTTCCTGGAGGGAAGCCGTCTTGGACGCGGAAGAGGTTTATGGGTCTGATCCGTGCCTCTTCCGGGACGAGTTCTGTGACTGCTGTCCCGGTATCCACATCCGAATCCACCGAGTATGGGCTGGCGACAAATTCTAGTCCTGGTGTGCTTGGTTGACTTCCGAGATCCGAACCGACTGTGCTGCTACCAAATTCCTGACAGTATGGGGATTGCAATTGGCTCGTCGACTCCGGCAGTCCTTCAGATGACTTCATAGCCACTGCGCACACTTCCTCTATTGTTATGATTGTTTGCGACCACCTTGCCCCAGTAATAACCTTGTAGAATGCCTGCACTGTCGGTGCTTGGCCTGCTAGGCTTAATGCTGTTTGTCGAAGTTTGGGTTCTCGGCATCTCAAACTCGTGAACCACAGGGGAATCGAGATGCCAAGTTCAAGCGAAAGTGGAGGTTGGGATCCGTCTGATCGAGCCGAAGCACCTAGCGCGACTTGAGACTGGTCCACTATGTTTTGAAATTGCGGAAGGTATGCGTCGTTTGCGGTCTCCAACTGACATGTGGAAGTGCCGATCATTACGTATAGCATCTCGTGATAAGCGAGAAGGAGGGCGCCAGTGCTTATTTGCTGCGGTGATAAAGACCCTTTCATATGCAAGGTTTCCATCAAGTCCGTGAACGCAGCGTACCACACCTTTAGTCTACCGAATAGAGCGAGGCGTTGGTTGATTAAGTCGCGAGGTGGATGGAATCCTTCAGGCTTCAAGAAATATGGCAGGCAGACACGCTGGAAGAGCTGAGCCTCTGCAAGCAAGAGAACGAGGGCTTCGCGAGCAGATTTGAGGGAGGAAAACCCCTGTGTCAAGGTATGCTCAGCATCGGGTAGCAAAGCGCCGACCGGAACAGCGGAAAAGTTGAGCGCCGTTGCCCCAAGACGAATGAAGATCGGAACGATGATGTCCTCCAACCATGCAGTTTTGGATGACGATATGACCCCAGAAGCGATCTGAGCACGCAATGTGACGATAAGCTGCACGCCTTGACAGTAAAGCAGGGTAGCTTGTGCTGCACCACCCTGAAAACCTTCAATGCACATGTAGAGTATACAGCTGACCAGTCCGACCAGGACATCCCCGTCGCCGCGGTCCAGACGCTGACGGACTTGGGCCATTGAGCGGGAATACCAGCTGATGGCGTCTCGATGGTACTGATTGAGGAGAACGACATCTCTCTGACGTTGAAAGGCTATATCTGGACATGGCTCTGGGCTTTCAAACAGGGTGCTCAGGGAGATGATGGCATCCCACACGGCTGGTTCGCTGCGGCATATTTGGGGAACGATGGTACTCCAGAAGTCAACTTCTAGACCCCCGCCGATGAATAGGGCAATATGTTGGAAGTAGTAGGCAAATGCGCGACGCTCTTTCCACACTGTATCCGGTGCCGAGCACAGTGGCTTGTCGAGAATTGAAAGGGTCGCAGGTGTGGAGGAAAACGTGCCTAGATTTGGGCCTTCATACTCGCAGTTACGGCCTGTCTTGCTGCATCGAAGACAGCTTGGCTTTTCCTGTCCACACTTGACTTTCCGAGCCCTGGAGATGACATTTGTAAGCTTATGTCGCGGTGATATAGTCTCGAAACACCTACTTGCAGGTTTTGCAACCCCGCCTCGATCTCAGGGGACCAATTACCGTACCCCTCACATGGGTGGAGGGAGAAAGACGCATATTGCCAGCATTATTCTTGAGGTCAATCAATGGAATGATGCATAGCAGACATGTTAGCAGCACGATAGAGAACAACCGAGAGACTCAATGAGAGAAGGAATGTTGAAATGGCGGCGATGACTGTTTCATGATGAGGCGACAATCGGCCCTGACACGTGAGTGGCTGATTCATGAGAATCGAGTCACGTGGCGCTTGGCTAGGAAAGAAACATGCAGGCTACACCGCATGCAGTTAGTCTGACAGGCGTGCTGATGGAAAATAGGGGCAGATTAAAGATATCAGATTTGACCAATTTGATGTTTATCTTATCAAAGATTAGGTGTTTGTAGGGTAAAACTTCCAGTGGGGGCCAAAGCCGTAGAGTTCTGGTCAACCTTGGTTGGAACCCATTTCATGTCCTGACATTACTCTTCCCGTGTTACGAACGGCATTTGCTTTTTCATAGCCCGTGTCGTCGTTGCTTTTGTCTCCTTATTGTTCAGCGACTCAGATTCATTCTGTTCTTTTCCCCCAGTATTTCCGGCCTGCCTTACAGCAGACAACCAAGTGAAACTGCAAATAAATCACCAGATTACAATATGGCGGCATGATCAGTAATGTGTTTGAGGCGAATCATTGCTATGGGAGTAACGAGGGCACAGACTGAGAAGCAGTCAAGACACAACGAGGTCACATGACCCGAATCGAACTCTACTGACTGCCGTGTATGCACCACTCCTTCCAGTTGCCGTATCCTTCTTCGAAAGAGGCTATTATATGCTTAAATGTATATCACGGACCAAGAATCCAATGCCTAGAGAATAACCAGTAGCTGAAACCAGTAGAGATTCCCGCTCAAACACCGCTCAGACGGCAGAGAATCGAGTGAACAGGTCAGATGAGGATAAAATGGCCGCAAAATCCACCTATACGAGCACAAGACCTGTGCGATGACCTCATCAGCTCAGTCCAACCCAAGGAAAGGGCAAGATTACCCGCCTCGACAGAAGAAGAATTTTTGCCCGCATTCGTTGGACCAGCCCCAATTAGACTCCAAAGGATGTCATGCAACCAACCATCCACCAATCATTCGACGTGGGCGGTTCGTCCCGGGCACTCGATGCGGGGAAATCCGGGGTACATTATAGTCATTCCAGACCGGGAAAGTTACCCCATATTTCCCCCCGGTGTCCAGCTTCAACCTAATCGGCGAATGCATATTCGGCTGGCCGCAACTCTATATGGATCGGCAATTGACTCCGGTATAAATATGCCTACGCCCTTCTGGGTATGGGATGGTGGGTTGCTTCTCAGCTGATCCACACCCCCAATTCACTAGTAGCACATACATTGCATTTTAGTCTCCTGCAATCATGGCAGACAATGACACACCCGACCGATCATCATTCCAATTGAAGAAAGACCTCGCAACTGCCGAGCATGATGAGAATGTTGGCGCGATCGAGTCGACCTCTGATCTGGCCTATGGCGTGGGCGGCATCCGCGGCCTCTTCCGCTCGTGGTATGTCTTCGGGTCGGCGACTCTGGCCTCGCTGGGCGGCTTCTCCATGGGGTATGACATGGGTGTGATCTCTATCATCAACGTGATGGATCAATTCCATGCCGTGTATCCTCGTTCTGAAACTGCTTTCGGAAAGGGTCTCATGACAGGAATGTTGCTGCTAGGTGCCTTTGTCGGCTGTCTCTTCATGTCCTATCTAGCCGATCGCATCTCCAGAAAATGGGCCATCACAGTTGTCGTAGTGATCTTCGACATCGGCGCTATCTTGCAGACTGCAGCCGTGAACTACGACATGCTAGTTGCTGGCCGCTTCATCGGCGGTATAGGAGTGGGCACTCTGGCCATGGTACGTACCCTCCCTCCCCTACCCCCATCATTCCCCCTATCTATCAATTTACTAACCCTACCCCCCTCTGGAGGGTGCACCCCTATACATCTCCGAAACCTCACCCCCCGAACTCCGCGGCATTCTCCTCGTCCTCGAATCCATCTCCATCACACTCGGCGTCGTCATCGCCTACTGGATCACCTACGCCACCCGCTACATCCCCAGCGAAGCCTCCTTCCGCCTCCCCTTCGGCCTCCAAATGGTGACCGCCACCCTCCTCGGCATCGGAATTCACTTCTACCCCTACTCCCCGCGCTGGCTCGCACTCGTCGACCGCCAAGACGACTGTCTCTCCAGCCTCTCCAAACTCCGCGGCCTCCCACGCACAGACCCCCGCATCCAAGCCGAATTCCGTACCATCGTCTCCGAAGTCACTTACCAGCGTATAGTCCAGGACCGCCGCCACCCCGGCGCCACAGGTCTCAAACTCGAGCTCTTCTCCTGGCTGGACCTTTTCTCCCGAGGTACCTGGAAACGAGTCGCGGTGGCCTGCGGCGTGGGATTCTTTCAACAGTTCTCGGGTATCAACGCGTTTATTTACTATGCACCCACATTATTTCAATCCCTGGGACAGTCAGATCGCATGTCTACCATCCTATC